TTTCGATATTTCTTAATAAAGAATATTATTCTCTTTCGAATGTTGAAAACCGCAGGTCTCTAGCTGCTTCCTATCCGGAGTTATTCAACTTACAACCGACTCCATTGTTCATTGAAATGGATAGTAGAGCTGAGTGAGAAAATATTTTAATGTTTAAGAAACTCATTTCCACTACAGTATCCATTTTCTTTACAAAAACTGATCGATCTAACGTAATCATTAATATGCATATTTTACGATTTAAGAATCATATAAAATAATAATAATCAAATGAGTAGCAGGACAGCACACAGAGTTTCAAAAAAACATAGAATAAAAAATAATATTCATTTAATAATATATAGTGAATTTGGGAGCTTTCTTTCATTGCGTCTTATAACACGAATATATTTTATTTGTTTCAAAAAATAGAAAATAAATAAAACTCTCTTCTTTGATATACTGTTGCCTATTTTTAATCAGCCCCGAAAAATAATGACTAGTATATCGAATTTTTTTTTTTTCGTAATAAATAGCTTTTCAAGATCAACTGTATATATATGCACTCAAGCATTTAGATATATCTGAACAAATCGTAGTAAACTACGAGATATTTAGAAGCGAAACGATGCACAATAATAATATATACCATAAATAATAAACCTCAATATACTGGTCTCAAAACATGTAAACCTAGAAGAAGAAATTTGATAGAAAAGAAAAAAAAACTAAAAGTTCAATGTTATTAATTTTTTTACCCAGTGCTTGAGCAGGTATTGATGGAGAATTTCTTGGACGAGAATATTGTTCAGGATCAAGCAATTCTCCCGAAGCCTATAGAAATATGTATAATCATCATAGTACATATACATAAAAAAATGAAAAAAAAAGAATTTATAGTCGTACCTGATAAGCTGAAGAAAAAAATAGTGAAATTATTATCATAGACATATAAATGAAATATTTTGAAATTAATGATTAATTACCTATTTGAACGTCGTTACTAAACATTTTTCTTGTAAATATGGCAATCACTTGTTGTGTTCTAGGTGGAATTGTATCTGTCATTTGAAATGCATGACGAGATGATAAAACATTTTTTGATCCTTGAAAATTACTACTCAAACGAACAGTTCGTGTTGACTTATTCTCACAGACAAGACCAAAATTTCTTAAAAAATAAAAAAAATAGAATATAAAATTTTGATCATATCTCTTTTTATTTATTTATTAAAAACTTACCCATTATCATCAAATGTTAAAATTGATACTCCACCACCCATATCTTGTCGATTATTTGTTTTTAATGCTACAGCTTGAAATGCATCAGCTATAATTTCATAGGTTGATGGTTGATCGTGTACAATAAATGGTTGACTTCCATGTACAACCAAATTAAATGCGGGATATACAAGATAATTAACAACAGACATACTTCCAGCTATTATAATATATCTTCCTGGTGGAACTTGTGCCGATAAAGTTATATAATAATCAACATCATGTTTATAACCTTTACAATATCCTTTTGAATTGAGTAATATTAAAAATAAATCAACATCTGGATCTTTTAAACGATTATAATAATTTCCATCACCAGCATTAAATACTTCTATTTCTAATTCGGCTCCATATGGTACATCTAAACCATATACCGATGTTACCGTTGATGAAAAATCACTAAATTGACCACGTTTACGAGCCTATAGAGAATAGATTCATTTTTTTGTTTTTAGGAATAATAGATGAAAGAATAATAGATACCTCATGCCAATTAGCATTCACCTAAAATATTAGCAGTGAAAATAGTTTATAAAGGTGTGGTCATGTTTTTCTCAAAATGCTTACTTTACATATCGTTACACTACTAAAAAATGATGGCATTTGTTCCCAAGCTGAAATAATATCAAATTATTATTATTTAATATAATAATATGTCATTATTTTAACTTACGCATCCAAAACACGCCGTCATTAGATGATGATGTGATTAACTTTTGTTTTAATGTTTTTGGCCATCTTGTCCAATTATCATTCCAAGGTCCTTTCCATTCTTTCTCACCCCATGGATTTCTTAATCTTACAAGACGTTGACTATTTACCTGTCTTGCATCGAGAATACTATAAGCATGATCAGATTCCAAACCTATTTTGATATAGACAATATTTTTAAAGGTCAAATTGATCTATAAAATGTATTTAATATACACATACCCATTCGATTAAATATATGTTCAGAAAATCGTTTATTTGAACATGGACATGTCATCAGATAACCTCAAAATATATTTAAGTTATAATGTATAGAAAATGAGTATGACAAAAAGGAAACATTTTACCTTTGGTTCGAGATTCCAAAATCGTTGCCCATATTTGATTTAAATCAGGCTTTTTTTCCGGATCAGATGAACGAAGAAAGAGAACCTAGAAAAATAACATTGTAAATTATTTTTACCGTAGAGGGAAATACGTATATCTATCTCATCCTGTGAATATTAGTGCTCATTTTTTGAAACTTCTTTTCTCGCATTAATCAACAGACTAATTATTAGAAAAGTATGGATAGAATAAAGTTTTCTGACAGATTTTTTCATCAATTTTTCAAAAAATCATTTTATTTTCACGAGATATTGAGAGACAAAGCTGATTTTGTCCACGTTTAATAAAAAAACGTTTTTACTTACTTCACACGGTTCTCCAGTTAATGTTTGTAATCCTTCATCACATCTTCCTGTAGAAAAACAATGTATTTAATTCTATAATAAATGAATTGATTTTAAACAACTTTTTAGTTACGAACCCGATTTTAATGTCATATAACTTCCATGCATTTTTGCCAATGCTTTCTCAATGAGTGGTGCATATAATTGTTTTTTTCTACTACGTGAGAATACAAGAGAATTTGATTGTGATACGGGTAACCAATCATCAATGGTAACCACTTGCCAAATACCCTGATTACACAATCGAACACGATACATTCCTGAATGATGTAAAAATTTATATTATTTATTGGAAACAAAAATAAAAATTCAAAAAATAAAAATATTTTATTTTATACCCTGAGAATTATATTGTTTTGTTATCATTACTTTGTACAATATCTGAGGAACTTCGGCAATAAGAGAAAGTGCGGCTATTAACCAACAATTTCCTAATCTTCCTTGAATAATATCTTTAGGATGAGGTTGATTGAATACGGCTAATGGATGAGTTTTATCTTCAACTGACCATCGAATACGTTCAGGACGAAGCCTATCATACGAGATAAAAAACATAACAATATTACAATAAAGTCTATTTTAAAAAGAAAATCGATATTACCATCGTGCTACTCGTCCTTGATACTTTGTTCCTATAGCATACAATCATATTATTTTAAACAAGGTTTAAAATAATCTATTTTTTTAGTCTATTTATTATATATACACTTCTAACTGTCAAAAACTCAAATATTTAGATTTAATAATGTTTAGTTCTCTCAAGAAATAAAAATATACTATATTAAAATAGATTAATCATTGAACCAATAATTATGAATATTATGAATACTGATTGAATTGACTACTAAAAACTAACTACTTTAACGTATTAAGTGCAGATATTTTTAAAGATAAAAAATATTTATTTATAGTTCTTATACATACAGAACTATTGTCATACCTAAAAATGTTGTTCCTTCATCTCCTCTTGCTATACTCTCTGGTGTTGGTGGAAATTCTTGATCAGAAAATTTAAGTTCTGTTCCATGTGGTATATTTCCTACGGATTGTGATGTTTGTGCAACATGTTCATGAATATTGTAAACTTCACGTGATAGAAGACTTCGAATGCCTTCAACTAGACAAACTTCATTTGGTTTATTTATTGAACTAATTGTAATTATTGTTGATTTTGAAGTCTCATCATCTGTCAACTTTGATGGTGATAGACAATCGGTAATAGTTGATTTTTTATGTAAATGATTTATTTTACGTTTTGATCGATTTTCTCGTGTATTACATTTAAATTTTGAATTTTCCATTTTTAAAAATTTTATTTTTTAAAAATCAATTTTTCATAACATTAGTAATAATGAATGAATTGCATTTTCGATTATCATTATCATATCACCATGCTTGAAGAAGCGACGACACGTTGATTCCCGAAATATATTCACATAAATATAAGGACAGGAAAAGAAAAAGCAGCGAACCTCTTTTTTTTTTTTTCTGCTGAATTGCGGTACATGAGCATGACAAATTTTGCTATTATAAAAAAAGAAAAAAAAAATAACCATGAAGGCCAGAAGACCTACCTGTTTGATTTTTCTTATCTATCTCATCGCGCGCATACCACCGTTTCATCCTTGTTCGAATTTTACTTCTTTTTTATTTTACATAGAGAGATACAATGATGCTGTTGCTTCATTTTTGCAAATAAAAAACAGACAAAACAAAAAATCAAAAAATGCACAAAGTCATTTCTTCTTCTTCTTCATAGTAGCAATATCACACGGAAATGAAATTATGATCATTAAATAGATCAACAGATAACAAGACAAAATATTGTAAATTTATACAGAATATATGTTAATGATTTTATCGATATAGAGTCATATGAGTGAGGAAAAGAGAGACTTGAAAAAATGTTGCCTTTTTCAAGTTTCTTTTTTGACAAAAAATTCTTTTTGACTATCTGTCATTCATTAAATGATGTTTTTGTCACCAATAGAAGGAACTTTACATTTTCAACTTGAAATACGGCAGGAAAAAACAGCAGTCAATGTGAGAGACTATTAGTTTAATCTCCTTCAATAATCGGATATTATTTTCATAATCTCTCATTGATTCTTAGATACTTGCAATCTTCATTCAAATACCAAAATTCAGTTTATTCCCTTCATTTAGCGTCATCATCTTTTTCTACATAGACTTCATTTTACAATATGGAATAGTATAGTGTTTTGTAAATTAATTTACATCATGTAAATTTATGCTCGTTTTGGACAGACCGATCAAGCGGAACATTGAGTTAACTGTAGAAGAAAAAAGAAAAAAAAAAAGTACAAAAAAATGTCTGATGTGAATGGAGAATCTATTTATGCGTGTCCCATATGATATTCGAACAAAATGACCTTCATTATGTACCTAATCGCTTTAAAACTTATTTTATTCTTCCTTTTTAGTTCTTCCAATCTTTCCCGAAAAACGACTCAATACGACGGAAAATTATATTTTTAGAACGGCTCATATTTCCGTCAGACGCTTTATCTTTAATCGATCATTATCTCATTTCATATGAAAGAAAATGCGTTGAATCTTGCGAAAAATATGTTACTTTCATAGGTTAAGCTGAGCGATCTATTCTACTTTGCTTATTGATCTGACTGCCATCGGACAGGATTCTTTGTATTGTGCTCTCAACTTAAAGTGAGAAATAAATCTGAATAAAATCCTTAAATTAAACTTGCATGTAGTGTTTCCTACAAATACCACATTAATGGTTTGAAACACAATAGCTTGTCGTTATTGAAATTTTAATATAAAAGTCGTTTTATCACTGTCTCTCTTTTCCCTGGCAAGAGTTGTCTTCCCTAAAGATGACGCCACTTTTCACATACTTATAACTCTTATATTACAAATACACAAGATTATCCGTACAATTTTTAAAGACTGGCTTTCGTTTTTCAATTTATATACTGAGAGACGTATAGTTTTTTCATAAAGGAATCCTTCTCATGTCTCAGTGGTGCCTTTCAACAAATAAAAATTCTGTAGAACGACAATAAAAAAGGAAAAAAGAAAAAATCTTTGCAATATTGAACATATAAGAAAAAAAAATAAACCCTGAGAATAAGAAGAAAAAAGAGATTGTTGATTGATTGACGGTGTTTGTATAGCATGATAATTGACCTCGGAAACGAATATAACATGATGTAGCAGTTGTATAATCTAAATGTGGCCAACTACACTAACTTGTGATCTAGTATTCAAGATATACGTATATTCAACCTGCGGTAAAATCAAACATTTGAACAAAATATATAGAATTATGTATTCATTATGACAGAATCAATTGTACGTTTACCACTCGATGTTCAACACAAATTGCAAGAACTTGAATTAGAACTAGCCGAAGGTAAAACTTTTGACTGCTGTACGGGTGCTAAAATTTTAAATTTTATATCTGTTTATACTTATAGATTTAGTGTAGAGATGGGCACCGGAACCAAAGAACTTTTTTGGTCCTGATAAAAGATTTGTGTCCGATATTTTAAAGTACATCATAGGCCTTCGTTATTAATTAATTTAGCAAATACAATGACCGGGATAAAAAAATCCTCCAATCCCGGTCATTGTATTTGCTAAATTAATTAATAACGAAGACCTATGATGTACTTTAAAATATCTAGACTGAAAGAGCAAACATTTCTGTACAAAATGCGTGGTCAAATAATCGTTTACTACTAAAGTTAATGGAATGGGACGCAAATCTTTTACCGAGACCAGAAAAAATATTTTTGGTCCCGGTGCCCATCTCTAATTTAATGATTTTAATTAAAACACCGAACTTATATATAGACAATAGAGCGCTCAAAATTTTTTCACAAGAATAGGGATGTTGATGCTATTAGGAGAAAATTTAATTCCATATTATTAGCCGTGAGATGGCACATCTTGACTCCTTTGTTTTCTGTTCGGTTTAGGTGACATAACACAAAAAGGTTTTGAAAAAAAGCGTATAAAACTATTAGAACCGTATAGAAAACAAAAACAGAAAACTGATGATGGTCGATTAAGTAAGACTCGATTTTGTCCTTATTTAAAAAGTATAATATGGATTCTTGTCTGTACTTCGAAAGGTGAGAGTCCAGTTATTGCTACTTCGAATCACAAACATGCTAAATCAAGAATTCAATGTCGAAGACAAAAACATGAAGGATACAATCGCTACCATTCAGGTATGTAAATGTTTTCATCATTAAGTAAGACTGTATAAAGAGATGAGTATATTGCCTCGGTTCAGATGTCCGTCAAGAAGCTGTTAAACAAGCTCTCGAACAGTATGGTAGTAAACCAATATCATCATCAAAAAGAATATCGAATACTCAACAAATTGCAGCAGGTAGGTTGGAAGAGTTTTATATTTAGTTTTGATATATCAGATCGGAGTTAATTTTGTTTTAGATTTGTCTAGTGATGATGAAAGTTTAACATATACAACAGATGATCATCAGTCGCCATTTCAACAACTAAAAAAAATTGAACAACAACCACAACTGCCAGAATTAGAAACGCTGATCAAAAGTAAATATATGAGATCTTCCATTGAAGTTCAGAAAGGATTTACTTGGATTATATTTATAAATATGTTTTGTGCTTTTTTTTTTGTTTAGATATTCCAGCTCCATCCTTACCACCGCCGATAATGTCATCTTTTTTATCAGATTTTATTCATCGTAGTCAAGAACCTTCTCGTATGTATAAACTAATGAGATTAGGGTTATCTCTAGCTAAAAAATTCCGTCTCTTTTTTTCTAGTTTCATCTGTACAACCTGATTTGACTCGAAGTGCGGGTGCTCGGTATCGTGATTCTAATTCAGACTATATTAACAATAATTATCAACACTATGTCATGTACGGAGAACGAACGACAACGGCCACGCAACAAATAAATCAAAACACAAATGTATATGGTATGTTAACAAGAATAAATTATACTAACTCACATAAAAACATAATAGACAAGACTGCTTAAAGAAGTCATATAAGCTGAGACTTATGTAATAAGTATAATTCTTCCTATAATTTAACTGATTTTAGTCATGACATATCATCTAACGAGGGAGGTCCACCAACTGTCCAATCGCTTTTGAAACGAGACCTAGTGGGTAATAGGTAATCGACCATGCGGATTCCGAATATCGACATGAAACGGGCAGTTAGGCCTCCAGCGACCCGTTTTCTGGAAAACTAGTCTTTCAGAAACTCTAAAAAGTAACCAAAACCTTTCTTAATAAGGCCTGATTGTAGCCTGCACATTTTTGATTAAAATGAGATATCACCCAGCTCTACATGACTTTTCTTTGTAAAGTTATAGAATTTCCAAGAAAAGCCCTAAATGTTCATTGGCAGCTCAAAGCTACAGAAATAAGGAAAAAATTAATTTACGAATTTTCTTGTCAACTCTGTAACTTTGCAAAGAAAAGTCATGTAGAGCTGGGAGATATCTTATTTTAATCAGAAATGTGCGGGCTACAATCAGGCCTTATTAAGAAAAGTTTTTGTTAATTTTTAGAGTTTCTGAAAGACTGGTTTTCCAGAAAGCGGGTCTCTAGAGGCCTAACTGTCAGTTTCATGTCGATATTCAGAATCAGCATGGTCGATTACCTATCACCCACTAGGTTTCGTTTCAAAAGCAATTGGACAGTTGGTGGACCTTCCTCGTAAATCGGTCTTTTTCTGAAATAGGTTGTAGTTTGATTACGATTTATCCTTCTAAACAAACGTTTATCCTAAAAAAAATAATAAGTAAAAGTTATTTTTCATAAAGAAAAATGACTGATTTACATGACAAAAATTTTAATTTTAACAGAAAACTGATTTCCGATTGCCTATTGTTGTTGCCTTTTTCAACTGATTGTTATTTTTCCTTAAAGTTATTTTCTTTTTTCTCAATTATTCGTCGATTGAATCTTATCAAAACATAACGATACCTATTATTTTTTGTTTCATTTTCTCTCCTTTTCTCCTTTTTTTAAATGTACATAATGTACATACATACGTACATATTCAAGTTATAAAATATAAATTTTTTCTTTCTTGTTATTCTATTGTTTATCCTATGCGAAGATTGTTGAGTAGAAAAAGGAAGAAGATAAGCAAATCTCTATAAATAATGGATTTACTTTTACCAACTTCTAATTATAATCATAGAATCTTTTATACTCATAATCATTTAAATAATTTAGAACGAAAACCAAGCACACGCGTATCATCGAAAATATTGGCTTTAGTTAACACATTGAAAGTAAGACAGTACAAAAGAATTGAAATGTTCTTAAATCGTTTTAAAAAATATGCAAAAATTCTGTTCTCAGTCAAATGGTATTCAATTATCCTAATACCACTTCTCAAAATATCTTGACAATATTGTAGGAAATAACTTCTACACATTTTAGCGTCCAAAACGAAAACAATTACATGAATTTTTTGAAGATAATGAAGAAGAACTAGCAAGTAAGTTTAAAAAGATATTTTCTATAATATCATTATACACTATTTGCTATTTTATGTTTAGTGCCTCCAATCGATCCGTTATCACCGAAACCAGAAGGTGGAATTAGTGTACCGTCCTGTGGTGAACAATTAGTTGTTTCATCTCAATGGCCTAAAAATTTTATTCAAGCCATTAATCAACATGGAATTAATCAAGGACGAAATAATTTTATTGTGGTACTCGACGAGCAAGGAAAAGCTGCAAATACTTTAACATTCAGTAAAATGCCATATACCATTTCTTCTCTTTATATTCATTTATTTATTTTTTTCTAGTCAAATTAATGACTCGTTCTCACAAAATTGCCTTTAATCTTCTAAATAAAGTTCATTGCCAAGGATCAGGAAGTACTTCAAGAGAAAATCTACTTAAATCGGGTGATAGAGTAAGATTATTATTTATATTAAATTATTATGTCTAAATGAATTGTTTTTTTTATTATTATTTAAGGTTGCTCTTGTCTATTCAAATAATGATCCAATTAATTTTATTTGCGCATTTTATGGGTGTATTATAGCTGGAATTGTACCATTACCTGTCGATGTACCGTTATCAAGGAGGGTAAGTGTGCGTGTATGTAATTTTGTACTGGTTTCCTTTGCTTGTTATTTATTCTACTCTATGTCTACTTTTTTTTGTTCTGTGTACAGGATTGGTTATCGCAACGTATTGGTATCTTATTGGGTCAATTAGGCGTTAAAGTAGCTTTAACATCAGAGTCATGTTATCGTCAGTTACCGAAAACAAATTTAAATTCAATGTCAACTACTCATTCATCTACTCCGACAAATACGACAATAAATGGTCATCATGGTGACATTCTCTCGTTCAAAGGATGGCCACCTATTGTCTGGTTTGTGACTGAACATTTACAGAGACTACCGAAAGATTGGACACCTCCATTATCAGTTCAAGAACTGCAGAATCAAAATATACCAGCCTACATTGAAGTAAATATAAAAATATAATAAATAAAGGTTAGTTTATTTAATTATTTTCTATTTTTAGTATTCATCTCTGAAGGATGGAAGTGTTGTGGGAGTTACTGTCACACATGAACAATTATTAATACATAGTCAAACACTTATTAATGCTTGCAAATACACATCATGTGAGTAAAACGTTTGCTTATTTATAATATATTCAAAAAAAAAGTCAAGAATAATATTTTGAAAACATATTTAATATTGAGAATTAATTCACATTGTTTCAATATTTTTATTTTGCTTTATTTAGCTGATATTTGTTTATGTTGTGTTGATTTTAAACGTGAAGTTGGTCTCTGGCATAGTGTTCATGCAGTAAGTTAACCTTTTCTTATAAAAATAAATACGAAATGGTTCGCTTACAAGGAATCATTCTCAAGTGATCAACTCAGTTTTTCTTCGTTCATATGTGGATCGATAGAGTATATTGAGATATCAGATAGTCAAAAGACTAAAAGGATTTGGGTTGTTATTGCTTCCTGCGAAAGTTATTGAATTTTTTTGAGTTTTTCCTTCAGAGTCTGAAAAGACTCAATATTTTAGTTTTATAAAGTTTTCTTTCCTTTTGTATCTATTCAAAAGTCTTTTCTTATACATAGTCTGATAGAAGACAGCCTTCTCTTCAACATGAGACGTCTCTCAGAATTTTCTGATGAGTTTTTATGGAGATATAAACATCACTGGAAATGCCTT